TCGACAGACAAATAACGTTGAGAACAGACGTCGATTTGATCAACCCAGCGCGACAGCTGTCGCAGAGGACCGTTTCATCGCAAAGACTGAGCTTAAGGGTCGGTGGTGTACTAGATTAAGACTTGTATTACGCGTTTTCACCACAGAATATTATAGAATTTTCTTGAATCTTATTTTATCTTCTTTGATGGGCATTTTAGACTTTGAGGTAATGAAGAATGATGATAATTTTACGGATATACAACTTGTTTATTCTGTGAAAAGCGATGTTTCGACATAGATTCATCACTTGCTTGACAACGATATCTATGCCGAAACGTCGCCGAACGTATGTAGTTAAATTGTACATCTCCCTTCCGGAAGAATGACTTAAAAGCAAAGTTCGTCAGCGCCAGAAAGGATTTCGACAGACTGTTAAGTAAAAGTTAAGGTTTTCGAAAATTATGGTACAACACTGAGCTGGGTACAGTCCCTTACACAAGAAAATATATGGTGATTTCCAAAAATTTCCAAAATTGGAAACAAAGACATACATAGGTTATAACGGGTAGTTGATATCCACAAGAGCAACATGCACTGTTTATTAAATGTCTGTTATACGTATCGGCGTTTGGGTCGCTAGATCCGAGCCTGAGGCAGCAATGAACGATTTGACAAGAACAAGAGCCATAATTAATATCAATATAAATCTTGTTTTTGGTTTTTGTAATTAGGTTTTAAAATTCTTTGAGACTGCAAGATTCAGTTACATAGCAAATCAGTAATTAGCTAGGGTGAATCCATTCTATCAGACAGGGGAGTATGGTGTGTTTTCGTTGTTAATTACCGACTCCACTGTCTCATAACTGGGAGTCTCACAACTGGGAGTTCTCACAAACGGGAGTAGACCCCTTGACTCACTCATCAATTAACAAGGGATTAGGTCCTGGGAGTGCAAAGAACAACAATTTACCATCACCCACCTGTTATCTCCCCTTGTGGACATTTCCAAAATTGTAAATGTTTGGAAATCTCATATTTCCAAAATTGGAAATGTCTTGCAAACATCATCTTTCCAAAATTGGAAATGTCTTGGAAACATCATCTTTCCAAGACATTTCCAAGCTTGTAAATGTGGACTTTTATTCCAGTGTTAGTTTGAGTATCTCCGACGTCAGGAATATATCACAAGCCGACTTCTTTTGATTAAAAACCGGGTATTTTTTATCGATGCAGAAGATTGGGTGAATCAGTTATGGAACGACCGAGGTTTAACTAATGGAAATAGATTACGTACACACAGATTGTTCAAGTCCAGTCTAAACGCCGAAGCTTACCTGAGCTCGATATCTAACCGACGCCGTCGTAGTGTATTAGCAAAACTGAGGTGCGGTACTCTCCCTCTAGAAATCGAACTAGGAAGATTCAGTCGTTCCTCTCCAGGAACGAATTTGCAAAAGTTGTGATCTTGGCTAGACTGAAGATGAATTTCACTTTCTGGTGAAATGTAACCTCTATACAGATATCCGAGCTGATATTATTAAGAAGTTTTACAATAATTCACTCTCATCATTCTCTCCTCAATGCAAGATAATATCACCTGTAGCGCCTTAGCCGCAGGGATTTTCAATATGTATGAACGTCGCCTTAAACACCATACGTAATGTCATTCAATCAAGGTAATAACAATAATGATATTTATAAAGCGCTTTATCCACCCACAAGGTGCAATTGTTCTGTACAGTTGTTTTGTATTTCATGTACCATAGGCTTGGTAATACTGCTATAGTATTTTATGTGTTTGACATTTATAAATACTTTTAACGCAATTTAATGTACAATCGTGTCTCGTGAAATGTATATGTATATCTGGAAAATATGTGACACGGTAATAAAGTTTACTAATTTTCTTCTTCTTTCTTCTTCTATAAATAGTTGTGACACCATTTTACTGAATATCCCCTACCTATCATTTTCACAGAGTACCAGAAATGTAATGCAGTGGACGTCTCACACCCCAAGCATCCTGCTAATTATCGCCATCTAAACAGTATTCCTATCTTGTCATATACTTCAGCTTTAGGTCGCTTGGATGTCCTGTTACAGGTTCCTGTTACCATACATCCGTGATGTCACGGAGATCCGGATGTTACATGTGGTGTTAAGATAGCTAACTCACGACATACCTCATACTTCCGGACTGGTAATGACGGAGATGATGTTGATGACAATAGACCCTATATGTCTTCATGAAGGACGCCCAGTCACAATGAGATAGTTATCCGTATATTACATGCCATATGTCAAAACAAGAACGAACCCAGTGACATATTTCATAATTTATGTTTTCACCATCAACATAATATGAGCCAAACTTCCACCCCGACACACATACTGGCATGTTGAATTAAATCGTGTTCAGTCGACAGGACTCAAAACCGCCCCCTTTACAGTGCTAACCGTCCCCATTACATACAGTGAAATCTGACTGACACCAGAATTTAAATCATGTCCCATGGCGTGGAATGCAGAGTATGTGTCAACACGCGTCCAAGCTCCAGCTGTTATGTTGTAGAGGAAAACACACCCTAACGTACCGTCTCACTTTGTGTTGTGTCAGCATATCAAACATTTAGTTTGGTTTGACGCATTAACACCCAATCATTTCAACTACGTGTGTTACATATTATTCAAAGGAAAAATCAATAATAATAAAGTGTGGGGAAAAACAAACAAAAGAAAACGAAATAAACCCAACTGCCACTCTCGGTAATACCCATTACGCAGTATATCCCAGGGGATGCCGACCTACTATATGCATAGAAAGCATCACTTTCACTGTTTCTACTGAAAAGGGGAAAAATACATCACTGGTACTGTTTCTATTGAAAGGGAAAACACACTGACAAATTACATCACTGGTACTGTTTCTATTGAAAGGGGAAATACACTAACAAATTACATCACATGTTTTGTTTCTATTGAAAGGGGAATACACAGTACCAGTAATGTATTTTGTCAGTGCGTTTTCCTTTCACTAGTAAAAAATTGTTCGAACAGAGAATACCAAATTGAACACTTTCCAGTTTGTCTATTTTTGCCGAAAGCAAACCTTACAAATACATAAGGATGTAAGGATGTGAAAACATATACTAATTCGATGAGAGGCTTATAACAACGCAAATATCGTATTTTCATTTTAAACAAACCAAGAATTATAGGTTGGACGAGTTTTTAGGTTGGAACATACGATCAGCAGATTCTGGAGTCAGCCTTCTTGACAACTAACATACAACAAAAGTGATATCAGGAGCAAGGTTCTGAATCCTTTCCATCCAATGGCACCTTTCAGGAACAAGCAATGGTACATACATTGTTGTAGTGGGTGCGTCCGCAAATTGTAGTGTATCCAACCACTGCTGTAATCTGTTTTCCAAGGGCGACGACTACTGGAGTCAAGGTCAAATGACTACTAACACCCAGTGACCATAACACAAGATCACATCTGGCCTCTTCATCAAACGTGGGTCTAAGTAGTAAGGTGTAGATAAAAGAGAATAACCCGCATCAATAAAGGGAACATATCCCAAACAAGGTTGTGACAGTAACTGAACTACACAGATAATCACAAAGAAAAATACGGATAATAAGTCGATTTGCTAGGTGCACATGACAGTGCACATCTGACACGGATTTGTGTCAATCCTGTTCAGCTGACAGAGCACATCTGACAAAGGTTTGTGTCAATCTTGTTCAGCCGACAGAGCACATCTGACAAAGGTTTGAGTCAATCCCTTGTTCAGCCGACAGAACACACCTGACAAAGGTTTGTGTCAATCTTGTTCAGCCGACAGAACACACCTGACAAAGGTTTGTGTCAATCTTGTTCAGGCGACAGAGCACATCTGACAAAGGTTTGAGTCAAGCTTGTTCAGGCGACAGAGCACATCTGACACGGGTTGGTGTCAATCTTGTTCAGTCAACAGAGCACATCTGAAAATGGTTTGTGTCAATCTTGTTCACCTGACAGAGTACATCTGGCAAAGGTTTGTGTCAATATTGTTCAGCCGACAGAGCACATCTGACACCGGTTTGTGTCAATCTACTTCAGCCGACAGAGCACATCTGACAAAGGTTTGTGTCAATCTTGTACAACCGACAATGTTTGATGAATATGTATAACTGCTAACGCTAATGCTTCACTTCAGTCTTCTTTATATAAATATGAATATGATTCATCCACTACATGCTATTGATATCTACGTTTAATACCACGTTTTGGTGTGTGTATGTGAGAGTGTGTGTGACCGTGTGCGAGAGAAACTGTCTCTCTCCCTAAGCGTCCTCATGCTTTAACTATAATAGTTCAGGGCAAAAGTGTGTTTTATTACACTATACATGGTGGTAGAGCGAAGTGTATTTCTTAAGTAAAACGTTCTATCTAACCTTATCATACTATGTGTATGGACTAAAGCATACTTCAGCGATGTTAAATTAAGGGGGGCATTGGCTGTATATACCAATTACACGACCAGACGACCATTCACAAAGTAACATATACTTTTTATCTGACAAAATACCTGACGTTATCACAAGGTTAGTGGGCTGACACGTGCCCCTGACATACCCAGAACATTGCACACATAATGTCCAAACTTAACTGTGAGACCACCCTTGAGTGTCCATTTCCTATGTGTTATATGTTTCGGTTTTATCACGTATGGGTGTATACTTCCGTTAGTTTATTTTCGTATACAAATGTGTCCTTTATAATGGTGGAAATAAAGAGTATGTTCGACATTACAGCTAAACAGGAAAGAAATACGCAATTCTGTAGACCAACTGTTGGACATTGTGTGTTGGCAAGCATGGTAGCTGAAGTGTATGGGTTGAGGATTCCTGACTGGTGTAAGGATCGTGTCAACACGACACCGTGGTGTATCTGTACAGCCGTAGTGTATCTGTATGGTATAGCCGTGGTTGATCACACGAACCAGGGAAATCGGAAGGCTTCTACTTACCAGAGATCTGTAAAGTTGAAGTAACGGGACTCAAGTTCACATCCATGTAAGTAAACATTAGGTATAAATTCCCTGGTATGGCAACAGCCAGCACAACGCCCAGCACATATTTGCAGCGTACTGGCATGTCGACAGACAGCCTGGAACTGGCACACAGCGAACAACACAGATTGTACCGCTCTCCGGCTGCTGTGTCACAACCTCTCTGTGGCTGCTCCGCGAACAGGATGTGTAGACCTTTCCCGGCCTACACGCACGCGCTGTCAGAGGTCAGAGGTTAGCATCGTATCTCGCTTCGATATTACAGCTGATTATCCCATTCTATGATATTCGCATTGTTTTGATTAGCTGGTGTTGTTAGGGACTAGTTAGTAATGTCCTAAATTTAAACCGTTGGAAATATAGTTTAGTATTGTTATCATGATAAATATGATGGTATGGGATTCTGTTATGACTGTCAAGAAGAGAGAACGAATGAAACATAGGCGGATCCAAAGGGGCGGGGGCGCAGGGGTGCAGGGGTGCGCACCCCCTTTGCCCTGAAAGTTTATTAAATGACCATCGGAACTCGGGTGAAAATGAAGTGTGCACCCCTCCTTTCTCAATAGTGTGCAACCAACCTCCCCCTTCTCAAAAGCTGTATCCGCCCCTGTGAAACATGTATTTATGAAAAGTAATTCTGGGGGATGCGAAAATACGTGTCGTTAGCAATTTTATGATTCCAACACAAGCAGCTGCACATAAACAGACACCTCACGTGCTGGTCGAGAAGTCGTCAGACACAACTGTAGTCATTCATTTATCATTTTACCTTCAAGTAAACCATTTTACACCACTGCTATTTTTATCTCATCATTAAGTCTTATCTTACTCTTTCATTCTTTTAGTTTATAGTGCTCTTACCTATTGAGTATTATCTTGAAGCGCTTTGAGCACGCACTCAGTGGCTGGATGTATAACGATGTATAAATGTTCAGTATTATTATTAATTTTGTAGTTGTTTATTATCTCAGTGATTGTTGGAGTGGAATATGCTGTGTTTCAATGTCCTGTTGTGTTCTACGTGTTTTACGATGTAACCAAAATGTCCTTCTGGATAATAAAGTATTATCTTATCTTATCGTAGTCGCATATAGCAAACAACATCATTGAGCGATGCCCTTTAACAATGGAATAGTCCACGTTGATAGGGGTTTAAAGCTGTTTGTCTAAAAGTGTTCGTGGGCAATAAATCACGAGGGATGAGGGAGCGTCATCATGTTTGTCAACTGTTTAACGTCGCACTCAACAATTTTCCAGCTGTCTGACAGTGGTCTATAAAGAATCCTGTCTGGACCACATAGTCCAATGATTGATATCACGAGCATCGATCTTCATCATTGTTATACGATGACATGTCAGATATTGACACAAACACTCCTCATACAGAAAGAACATCTGTCTCTGTAACACTTTTGCAACATGAAGTTTGTTGTGTATACCACTGCTTTTCTTGAACGCAACAAAAGGTATAACAGTTCTCGAAGTACATAGCGGAGATTTGTCTGTCATACAGACCCTGAAACAAATATACCCAAGAAAGCCCATGCAAGTCTTATATATCTGGCAAGTTTAGATTTGCATAGTTTCTGAAAATGAAGAAAGTCTCTGGGCTCCTTTTCATTGTATTTCATGATTACTGTTTTTTTTGTGTGTAAAATATATATTCATTTTTGAGACTAGCTGATGGTCTGAGCGGAAATCATCCCCATTGGTCGTCACAGGAACTATAAGCGGCCATTAGGTTGACCACTCGTTCATGTCCTGAGCATGGAGATTTGTCGACGTGACTAAGCCACAGTACATATACCAAGCAAAACGATACTTTGGTTAGTTTGCTTCACAGTAATGTCCTCAGCAAAAAGGCGTGAGCAGGGATCCGCCCCTCTAGCATAATATGCGAAATCACGACCAGCATGGTGTTTGGAAGGTCAACTAGAACTAAATGGCAACTGCATTGCATATCTCTGTTCCTCCAAATGTCAAACGGGGACGATCAGGTCAAAGAGCGAAACCCAAAGCTGGCTTTATATCTTAAATTTATTCTGCGTGAGGAACACGTATGCATCACGGAAAATATTTCCGCAACGAAAATGTATAAACACGACGTTAAGAGATATGACGCATTTGTTCAACAAGACATTAATCTCTCGGTGAACAGTCGGTCTATTTTTAATCGAGCACTTCATCATTTCCGCGACGATTTCACTTTTCTCAACGATAACAAGGTCAGACTCGTCTTTCCTCCTGCTTGTTGCGTAACAGAATATGCGCGGGATCATACGACTGTAATGTGACAGGCTAATGTGTATATTAAAAACATACATATATTTTCAGTAAAATAACTATCACACATCATGGTGAATATCAGTAAAATAACTGACACACTTCGTGGTGAATATCAGCAGAATAACTATCACACATCTTAATGAATATCAGTAAAATTACTGTCATACATCTTGGCAAATATCAGTAAATTAACTGATTTTCAGGAAAATATACTAGAACAGGGAACATTATAATTTCAGTGGGTTCCTTCCGCGAAAACCATTTTCTTCGGGTAAAGTGTTCAGTTATCCCATCTTACAGTCCCAGCTCACACAGAGACACGACGTACCGTAAGAGGCGACTAACGGGATCGGGTGGTCAGGCTCGCTGACTTGGTTGACACATATCATCGGTTCCCAATTGCGCAGATCGATGCTCATGCTTTTGATCATTGGATTTTCCATTCCAGACCCAATTATGTACAGACCACCGCCATATAGCTGGAATATTGCTGAGTGCGGCGTAAAACTAAACTCACTCACTCACGTGATGTACACTGAACACTGTTCACTGTCGTATGCGTTGACTCTCTTGATGGGTTTCCTTGAATTGCACGACTCTGTAGCTGCTTAAACTCAACAAATAGACACACTACCCAAGGTTGAATATCAACTAGTATAATGGCTGAATAGACATCAGATGATGGTAAACTATTACCTGACTGGTGCAAATACCGAAATCTTTCTCAGACAAGGTTATAATTACAGAAACAGAAAAATGACGCATTTTGTGTTATTTTTTTCATACATGAACTGGAAACATTTTACGAAAGAAGAACGGCAAAGTTTCTGTACTCGTAGTCAAAGGGAAACCACTCTCATTCGAAACAAATATATAGCCCTTTACAAGAAAATGTCACGGTCTTTTCCACGGCATGCACATATGTTTTAGGGTGTCACGACAGGCGAGAGTCGGACCACAGGCCCAAGCCACAGTCCCACCACAGGCTAGGCGAGAGTCACAGCACAGGCTCGGGAAAGAGTCGTACCTCAGTCCCAGGTGGGAGTCGCAGATCCATCGCGTATACTGGTGCCATGTCAGCCGAAATAAAGACACCTTCTAACAATATCTCTACGACATTGTCATACTTCTAATTTGATATAAAACTATGCACAATCGTTAGTAATTCCCATGCAATGTTTGCAACATGTCCTACAATTAATGTAAAATCTATTCACCTACGCTCTATGCCACTGAACTATTCAACCAACAGACCCTATAATAGGCACTATAATCGATGATTGTTGTGTCATCGACTGGATTCGATTTGTTGTTAGGCCTGTTAAAATCGATAAGTGTCACGTGGAAACCATTCGGTACTGAAGTCTGAGATGCCACTGTAGACCCATACTGACCGGCGGCAAAGCTCCTGGGCCAAGCACAAGAAGTTGTCAGACATATTAATGTCAAAACACGGTATCACCTCTCTTGAGGCGGTCTGTGCAGCAAATATATACTCATTACTTGCCACCAGTCTCCCAGTCACGTGACAACCATGTTTGGTTAGTGCACTTCGAAAAGTGATTCCAGAATGCCACATTATCCGCTCGGATTTAACTCCGACAACTCTCTGTTATTTCAAAGAATCTTCTGAATAGGAGATGTGCCGGCTGAAGGATGCCAGGTGGATCTGAGACAGGTGTGGTGTGCGTCTGGGTGGAATTGGCTGTAGTTGCTGGCTGTAGTTACGGGACTGGGTGATGCTGGCTGTAGTTACGGGACTGGGTGACGCTGGCTGTAGTTACGGGACTGGGTGATGCTGGCTGTAGTTACGGGACGGGGTGACGCTGGCTGTAATTACGGGACTGGGTGATGCTGGCTGTAGTTACAGGACTGGTTGATGCTCGCTGTAGTTACGGGACTGGGTGACGCTGGCTGTAGTTACAGGACTGGGTGATGCTTGCGGTAATTACGGGACTGGGTGATGCTGGCTGTAGGTACAGGACTGGTTGATGATCGCTGTAGTTACAGGACTGGGTAACGCTGGCTGTAGTTACAGGACTGGATGATGCTGGCTGTAATAACGGGACTGGGTGACGCTGGCTGTAGTTACAGGACTGGGTGATGCTGGCTGTAATTACGGGACTGGGTGATGCTGGCTGTAGTTACAGGACTGGTTGATGCTCGCTGTAGTTACAGGACTGGGTAACGCTGGCTGTAGTTACGGAACTGGGTGATGCTGGCTGTAGTTACGGGACTTGTTGATGCTCGCTGTAATTACGGGACTGGGTGATGCTGGCTGTAGTTACAGGACTGGGTGATGCTTGCTGTAGTTATAGGACTGGTTGAAGCTCGCTGTAGTTACAGGACTGGGTGATGCTGGCTGTAGTTACGGGATTGGGTTATGCTGGCTGTAATTACGGGACTGGTTGATGCTGGCTGTAATTACGGGACTGGGTGATGCTGGCTGTAATTACGGGACTGGGTGATGCTGGCTGTAGTTACGGAACTGGGTGATTCTGGCTGTAGTTATAGGACTGGTTGATGTTTGCTGTAGTTACAGGACTGGGTGATGCTGGTTGTAGTTACAGGACTGGGTGATGCTTGCTGTAGTTACAGGACTGGGTGATGCTGGCTGTAGTTACGGGACTGGGTGATGCTGGCTGTAATTACGGGACTGGGTGATGCTGGCTGTAGTTACAGGACTGGTTGATGCTCGCTGTAGTTTCAGGACTGGGTGATGGTGGCTGAAGTTACAGGACTGGGTAACGCTGGCTGTAGTTACAGGATTGGGTGATGCTGGCTGTAATTACAGGACTGGGTGATGCTGGCTGTAGTTACGGGACTGGTTGATGCTCGCTGTAGTTACGGAATGGTTGATGCTCGCTGTAGTTACGGGACTGGG